CCGGCTGCGACCTCTCTGTGCTCGCATGCGTGTGGGCGGGCGCGCAGCATGTCTCTGTACCTTAGGCTTTTTTTCAGCTCCTCTGATTTTCCTTCTGGTTTTCTCTTTCCTTCTTGTTGTAGAATTTTCAGTCAGTCGACTACCTGTAGCTCTGGGCAATGTCCACTCTACATTTTAGTTGTATTCCATTGAAATTGTTGTGTGCTGCCGTGGTTAGATGTCTACCCGAGCAGCCATCTTGGATCTCTCTCAGAACATTTTTTTTTTAATTGATATGGGTTTAAAGTCCACAGATCTTACATTGATATTTCTTGTTGTTTTTTTTTTTTCCTAATACATGCTTCCCAAAGTGAAAATAATATTAATGTTGAGACTTATCTGGTGGATGGAAATCACTTCCATACCTTATATGTTGTCATGCTTGAAGGCAGGATGGCTCCTCACTGTGTAGAATCATTTGTTGACAGAGGAGGCAGGTGGTGTCCTCCCAGGCTAGCTGTGCATGATGTTTAAGACTTTTCATATGTAGTGGTTTCCAGCTACTTAATATGGTAGCCATTTCAACTTACTTTTAAGTCTCCTCATATGAGAGGAATAAAACTCTATCTTATTTAAGCCCCACTTTATTTAGGGGTTTCTCATTATTTATATAATTCCACATCCTAATTACCACCACAGGCAAATTGTATTCAATAGGAAGTTGGTGAAGTTGTATGAACATTAGCAAAAGGAACATTTAAGACAAGAAAAATAACAAAGCTTATGGGCAAAAAGACAAAAGAGGATTAGTACATAATGATAAGAAACAGAAAGATATAACAAGATTCAGATGATCAGAATCAGATAATTCATACCCATTTGTGTACTCTTTTTTAAAATTATTTTCCTCCCTGTTTTCATTCATTCATTAATTCATTAATTCATTTAAATTCTTTATTGTTGAAAGTATTACTAGTATATATGTCTCCTTTCCCCCCATTGACTTCTCCCCACTTGCTCCTCTCCTCCGCACATGCCTCAACCTCCTACTGTCTGTGTCCTTTTTTTTTTTTTTTTTAAATATATTTTATTGATTTTTTACAGAGAGGAAGAGAGGGATAGAGAGTTAGAAACATCGATGAGAGAGAATCATTGATCAGCTGCCTCTTGCACACCCCCTACTAGGGATGTGCCCGCAACCAAGGTACATGCCCTTGACTGGAATCAAACCCGGGACCTTTCAGTCGCAGGCCAACGCTCTATCCACTGAGCCAAACAGGTTTCGGCTGTGTCCTTTGATTATGCTTATATTCATGCATCCAAGTCCGTGGTTGATCTCTTATGTCCCCTCCCAGTCTCTCCTGACTTCCTTCTGAGGTTTGACAGTCTGTTCAATGCTTCTCTATCTCTGAATCTATTTTTGTTCATCAGTTTATGTTGTTCATTATATTCCACAAATGAGTGAGATCATGTGATATTTATCTTTCTCTGATGGGCTTTTTCATTTAGCATAATACTATTCAGGTCCACCCATGCTGTTGCAAACGGTAAGATTTCTTTTTTATAGCAGAGCAGTATTCCATTGTGTAGATATACAACAGTGTTTTAATCCACTTATCTGCTGATGGGCACTTATTCCTAGAAGTGGGATCACTGGGTCAAATGGGAGTTCCATTTTTAATTTTTTGAGGAAACTCCATACAGTTTTCCACAGTGGCTGCACCAGTCTGTATTCCTACCAGCAGTACACGAAGGTTCCTTTTTCTCCACATTCTCTCCAGCACTTGTTGTTTATTGATGATACCCATTCTGACATGTGTGAGATGCTACCTCATTGTCATTTTGATTTGCATCTTTTGGATGATTAGTGACTTTGAGCATGTTTTCATATGCTTCTTGGCCTTCTGTATATCCACTTTCAAAAGGTGTTTAATTAGGTCCTTTGTCCATTTTTTGATTGGATTGTTTATCTTCCTTTTGTTAAGTTGTATGAGTTCCTTATAAATTTTGGAGCTTAAACTCTTATTGGATGTAACATTGGCAAATATGTTCTCCCATGCACTGGGCTCTCTTGTTATTTTGTTGATGGTTTATTTTGCTGTGCAGAAGCTTTTTATTTCTTATTTTTATGTAGTCCCATTTGTTTATTTTCTCTTTAGTTTCCATTGTCCTAGGAGATGTATCAATAAACATATTGTTATGAGATATGTCTGATAGTTTGCTGCCTATGGATTCTTCTAAGATTTTTATGGTTTCCTGTCTTACATTTAAATCTTTTATCCATTTTGAATTTATTTTTGTGTATGGTGTAAGTTGGTGGTCTAGTTTCATTTGTTTGCACATATCTGTCCAATTTTCCCAACACCATTTATTGAGGAGACTAACTCAACTCCATTGGATGCTCTTGCCTCCTTTGTCAAATATTAATTGAGCATAATGGATTGGGTCAGTTTCTGGGTTCTCTGTCCTGTTCCTTTGGTTTATATGTCTGTTCTTGTGCCAGTACCAGGCAGTTTTGAGAACAGTAGCTTTGTAGTATAGCTTGATATCTGGTATTGTGATCCCTCTAATTCTGCAGCTATTAGGGTCTTTTTTTAAAAAAAAAATCAATCTTTATTGTTCATATTATTACAAAGGTTCCTCATTTCTTACCCCCTCCACCAGGTTCCCACCCCACCCTTCGCCCCCTCCCCATCCCCCATTGTCCTCATCCATAGGTGCACAGTTTATGTTCAGTCTCTTCCTCCCTCCCTTTCCCCGATAGTAAATCCCTTTTCAGATAGTAAATCAGTTACTTAGCATTTTCTCATATCAATAATACCTCCACATGCCCAATGATACACTTCACACAAAAGACATTTCCCAATAGATCCACCAGCCTCATCCAGGCCCCACCCAAGGCACTCACAGATCAACACCCCAGCCCTATACTAACTCAACACATCCAGATCTAAGCCTTCATCACTTGATTCAGCAGACCCTTAAGTTCCCGCAAAAGTTTCCAGCCATATCTGAAAGGCAGTCGTGGGGCAGGGGCAGGCGAGGAGCGAGCTGTTCCGGGCCTGGCTGCTCAGGGCCTGGCCTCTGTTGCTCTGGTCCATTCCACAACCAGCTGCTCCGGGTCTGGTCACTGCTGCTTTGGGTCTTTTTTTTAAAAAAATATATATTTTATTGATTTATTTATTTATTTATTTATTTATTTTTTTTTACAGAGAGGAAGGGAGAGAGATAGAGAGCTAGAAACGTCGATGAGAGAGAAACATGGACCAGCTGCCTCCTGCACACCCCCTACTGGGGATGTGCCTGCAACCAACGTACATGCCCCTGACCGGAATCGAACCTGGGACCCTTCAGTCCACAGACTGACGCTCTACCACTGAGCCAAACCGGTTTCAGCTATTTGGGTCTTTTTTAATTCCATATAAATTTTTGGAGAGTTTGTTCTAGGTCTGTGAAATACACCATTGGTATTTTAATGAGGATTGTCTTGAATCTTATTTGTTACTCTTGTATAACACTGCAATAGGCATGAAAGTGCGGATATTTTATTAGGATAGTAATTTCATCTGATCAAGTGTCTGAATCTGGCTGTCAATTTTCAGGAAATATGAGGACATGGTACAAGTTAAACTGTACCATGAGTGAGTATGCAATCAGCAAAATCCAGGTTGTGAGTAATTCTGCAAGTCAAGTGTCCCAAGTTCTTCAACAGATGAATTGTAGGAGAGCAGAAGGGAGAACAAATAGACAAAAAGAGACTTGAAACCCCACAAAACCCCAACATATCCAATAAAAATAGGCAAGATGAAATGTTAGTAAGGATGCACAATTGGAAGATAAAAGTATAAAGAAATTTAAGGACATATTTCCAATAAAAGTCAGAGTAGTGGTAACTTGAAGGGGTTATGATTGGGATGAGGGTATATGGAGGGGTTTTGGAGTGGTTTCAAAGTTCTATTTCATGATCTGGGTGGTGTTTACTATGGGTTTAACCTTAGGATAATTTATGAAGCTCTATATTTATTTTGTGTGGGTCTTATTATATGTGTGTTATATATATTATTTTATTTTTTAAGATCACAAACCTGCCTTCATTTATTTTTTTCAAAGTGTTTCATTTCATTTTTATTTTTGACTGTTCTTTCAGATGTCTACATTTTTTCTTTCTTTTTCTTTCTTTTTCTTTTTTCTTTCTTTTTATTTTTACTTTTGAGTTGGAGATTTCACAAAGTTTAAAACACTTTGTAAACCATCAAACTGTTGACCTTTAGTTCCCCAAAGCAAGAGTTCTGTCATCAATTCCTTGTATATCTCACATTACTCAGCATATAACATATGTTCAGTTGGGACCTGTAAGGCTCAGTGTGCTTCCCAGACTTATGTTGATGATGTTAGAGGGATTTTCCCATGCTCTTTGGAAAACTTGTACATCTCTAAATAGATAAAACCTGCACTAGAACTGGGCTTGGCCATACTTTAACCCTGTATTGAGGAGTTAAGCAAAACGTGTGTGTAAGTCATGTTGCTTCCATTTACAATCCGTGGCAACTTGGGAAAGTCATTTATCACACTTGAGCCTCATGTTATTTACTTTTAAAATGGGAGAATAATATCTACCTGGTCAAACCCTCCCCTTCCCCCCCCCCATGTGAGATTGAGAGCACTTTGTAAATTATACAAGGTAACCTTATGGTTCTTTGCACACTATACGCATTTGTTAAATGGATGTAAAATGAAGATACAAAGATACCTACACAGCATCCTACTAGGGCTTAGAATGGAGCTGTTGACAGAGTGTGAATTCAGTCGGCAACATGTAAGTGGCGCTCAGGAAGTGTGTTTTAATGAGGGGACGTCATGTTCAAAGTCAGACCTTTAGTTTATTGGCCTGCTCAGTGGAGCAAGCAGACATTCTTGTTCTTGAAAGGTTCACTAGCCAGGTAGCCCCTCATCTCTCAGGAGCTACATATGGAGTAACTCTTCCTGGTCTCTGAGCTGTCCCTTTGCTGATTGCCTCCACCATGAGGAGCTTACTTTTGGTCCTTGTGATCCTTCTCTTGCTCTCCTATGTTCCACCAGGTAAAATGGAATCCCCTCTATGTGGAATTATAAATGAGAAGGGAAAGAGGATGTGAGGTTTTTGAAGAATGAGAAGAAAAGCAGGACTTGGATGAAAAAAGCAGGCGCAGAGAGGGATGCTCTGGACTGTTCAAGGGAATGGAGAGAAGGTGCTAAGGACACAACACAGGAGGTTGTGAATCTCTTCAGAGAAAAAACGGGTTCTGGACTTTGGTATAGGGAGTTTGTAAAGTTAGAGGGGAAAGTTGGATTGGTGGTATTGGCAGAAGTGGAGCAGAGCAAAAGCATGAGACCGTTAGCGGTCAGGTAGGATTTTGGAGAGAGGGGAGAGGCTGTTTCTTTAGGACTCTTAGAATTTGCACTCCAAAGTCAGTTACCTGCATGATTTCTCACAGTCTTAGAAATGAAGGCAAATTTGATACTGAGTGGAATCAGCAGACAGAGCTGGTTGTTCAAATGAAATTACAGCATAATGGGATCCTATGGGACATCAGTTAGAAGGGTCAGCATTTTTGTTCTCTGGATAGAAGCCAGCAACTTGATAGTATGGAGAAGGGTCCCTTTAAGTCACTAAAGAAGAGGTCCCCTAGAGCTGTTTTGCTTATGTTTTGCTGGGATTTGCATCTTTTTACCTGGCCCTAAACCTGCATATTCAAAAGGTAGCACTAAGGGCCAAGTGTGAAGTATTCCAAAGACAGGCACAGATGAGGATGGCATTGAGACTGCTGCTGTGATGCTGCTGCCTGGATGGCAGGACTTCTGGACACTTTGCATTGTGTCTCCACTGGACTCCTTTATTCCCTGGGACTAAAGGGCAAATTTGTTTGCAAATGGCCTGTGGTCATAGCAAATTGAATATCCTCATCCCACAAAGCCCATGGGCCAGCCAGGTGGAGAGCCTGATAAGGCTTAGCACATAGAGGGGATACTTCAGTAGGGTGACTCCAAGCCACCAGGACCTTCTTAAACTGCCACTTCTCCCCCCCCCCCCCCCCCCCACTCCTCAGCTTGCAGAGGGACTCAGGCCTTAAGGTTAGAAAAAATACTAGCAACAGATTTATATATGTGTTTTAGGTTTTCAAACCACTTCACACTCATTATCCCTTGGGACATTTTCACGTACCCTGTGATTCAGCCAAGACAGATAGTAAGGCACTTGGCAAAAAGTCACAGAGAATGTTACTGGGAATGCAGGGCCAGAACCACAGGGCCAAATTGTCTTCTAAAGTGATGACATATGGTGGTTTAATTTTAGTATATATTGCCAAATTGTCTTCCAAATTGGTGGAACCAATTTGTATTCCCTCCCATAGTTTTTGAGAGTTCTTGTTGCTCACATCCTTTTCCACAATTAGTATTTTCTGCTTTTTTTTTTTTCCATCCTGGCTGGGGGTGGGGGGTGGGGAAGTGGGGAGGGGGCCAACAGTAATGACATATGGTGGTTTAATTTGTATTTCACTGATGACCAATAGAATTGAGCATCCATACTATTGCAATGGTCAGTGATCATTCCTTCTTCAAACGAACACGGTGACAGTCTCAAACTGCCCGCTACTATCTCAGACTCTGAATGCCTCCTGGATTAGGGCCTCTGGAAATACTTCTAGGTCACAATGATCTATTTAAAAAAATATTTTATTGATTTTTTGAGAGAAAAGAGAGAGAGAGAGAGAGAGAGAGAGAGAGAGAGAGAGAGAGAGAGAGAGACTTATTTCACTTATTTATTCATCCATTGGTTGCTTCTTGTATGTGTCTGGACTGGGGATCAAACCTGAAACTTTGGTGTATCAGGATGATGCTCTAACCAACTGAGCTACTGGCCCAGAACCACAATGGTCTTTCCATTGCAATTTGTGCCATGCTGAATCTGCTGGGTTCTGTGACCTGCACATGTCAGTAGGGAGCATGGGAACTAAAGACTTATGACAGGGTCTCTGGAAAAAAACATTAAAGCAGCTGAAAAAGCAGCATCCAGCTATAACATGACAGGGAGGTTTTGACCCTGTTCAATTTACTATGAGAAAGTTCTAAAGTATAGCTTACAATCTAATTTACTCACGATACCATGACTCCACGGGACACTGTGCATTTATTTACCTTTGTTTTTGTTGGCAGTGAGAAGTGGAGTGAATCAATATATAAGAGGCCTCTTTTCTTCATGCTGGCGACTCAAAGGTGTTTGCAGGATGTCATGTCACAAAAAAGAAGAATATCATATTCTTTGTGACGCGAAATATCTGTGTTGCATAACCAAGAAGGTTTTACCTTCTTTGATTGGGAAATAGTTGTATCTGAGTTTCTCCCTGATTTCCTCTGGAGACCCAGATCCTTCTCAGATGCATCATCCTATTAAAACAATGGCCTTAGCCTTTTCATGTTTCTGTGTCTGCTGCGTTTCTCTTTAAGGGCATTCATTGTGTCTCCTATGGAAATAACCTCTTAGATAAATTTCCTGTCTTCAGTACTTTTCTTGTCGTTAATTTATCCCTTATTAAAGTGTCCTAAAACCTTCTTTTTTTGAAGTTTACTATACAATCAGAAAAGTGTACAAATCATAAGCAAACATATTGATGAGTTTCATAAATCTAACACACTCATGGAACCTGCTGCACTTGGTGAAGAAAGGAATATTCCTATATCCCAGTCAGGATGACAAAGGCCTGAATTCTAATACCGTAAATCCTGAGGCCTGTTTTAGAATTTTATATAAATGAGTTATACAGTAGGTACATTTTTGCATCTGGGTTCTTCTAATCTACATTATTTTTTTTTATCACATTTATTTATATTTTTTATGTAATTATAGTTTATTCATTCTCAATGTAGTATTATATTGGGGAATACATCACGATTTATTTGAATATTCTAGTGTAGTTTTTAGTTTGGGGCTCTTGTGAATAGTGTTTTGATAACATTCTTATACATATTTTTTGAGGTTTCTATGCAAGAATTTTTGTGGGTATATAGCCAGGTGTGACATTGATAGTCAAAGGCCATGCATATACTGGGTTTCAGTAGATATTGCCAAATTGTCTTCCAAATTGGTGGAACCAATGTGTATTCCCACCCATAGTTTTTGAGAGTTCTTCTTGCTCACATTCTTCTCCACAATTAGTATTTTCTGCTTCTTTTTCCATCCTGGCTGGGGGTGAGGGGTGAGGAAGTGGGGAGGGGGCCAACAGTAATGACATATGGTGGTTTAATTTGCATTTCACTTATGACCAATAGAATTGGACATCCATACTATTGCAAATGGTAAGAACTCTTTTTTTCTTTTAACCACAGTGTAGTAGTCCATTGTGTAGATGTACCACTGCCTTTTTTTAAAGAATATATTTTATTGATTTTTCTTTCAACATAATTTTTTTTATTAAGACCAACTTTTTTTTATGTTCACTTTTTTTTTTTTACATATTTTATTGATTTTTTTTTGCCCCCCTCCTTTCCTCCCACATATTCCCTCCCTCCCCAGAATTTTATGTCCATTGGTTGTACTTATATGCATGTATACAAGTCCTTGGGTTGATTTATTATCTCCCCCAGACCCTCCTCCCCTCCCCGCTGTAATTTGACAATCTGCTTGTTGCTTTACTGTCTTTATATCTATCTTTTGGTTCATCAGTTTATAATGATCTTTATTATCCACAAATGAGTGGGGTCATGTGGTGTTTCTCTTTCATTGATTGACTTATTTCACTCAGCATGATGTTCTTCAATTCCATCCAGGTTGCTGCAAATGATGAGAATTCCTTCTTTTTTATGGCAGCATAGTATTCCATTGTGTAGATGTACCATAGTTTTTGGATCCATTCATCAGCTGACGGGCACCTAAGCTGTTTCCAGATTCTGGCTATTGTAGATTGTGCTGCTATAAACATAGGGGTGCATATATCCTTTCTGATTCGTGTTTCTAGTTTCTTGGGATATATTCCTAGAAGTGGGATTACTGAGTCAAATGGGAGTTCCATTCTCAGTTTTTTGAGGAAACTTCACACTGATCTCCACAGTGGTTGCACCAGTCTGCATTCCCACCAGCAGTGCACGAGGGTTCCTTTTTATCCACAACCTTGCCAACACTTGTCGTTTGTTGATTTGTTGATGTTGGCCATTCTGACAGGTGTGAGATGGTACCGCATTGTTGTTTTGATTTGCATCTCTCGGATAATTAGTGACTTTGAGCATGTTTTCATGTGCCTTTTGGCCTTCCTTCTGTCTTCTTTTGTAAATATTCTATTTAGGTCCATTGCCCATTTTTTAATTGGATCATTCATCTTCCTTTTATTTAGTTGTATCAGCTGTCTGTAGATGTTGGAGATTAAACCTTTATCAGTGGTGTTATTTGCAAATATGTTCTCCCACACCGTGGGCTTTCTTGTTGTTTTGTTGATGGTTTCTTTTGCAGTAAAAAAACTTTTTAATTTGATGTAGTCCCGTTTGTTTATTTTCTCTTTAGCTTCCATTGCCCTATGGGCAGTATCAGTGAAGAAGTTCTTTTGGCATACGTCTGAGATTTTGCTGCCTGTGGATGCTTCTAGTATTTTTATGGTTTCCCGTCTGATGTTTAAGTCCTGTATCCATTTTGAGTTTATTTTTTGTGTATGGTGTAAGTTGGCGATCTAGTTTCATTCTTTTGCATGTGTCTGCCCAATTTTCCCAACACCATTTATTGAAGAAACTGTCTTGACTCCATTGTATATTCGTGCCTCCTTTATCAAATATTAATTGAGCATAGTGATTTGGGTTGATATCTGGGTTCTTGATTCTATTCCATTGATCTATATGTCTGTTCTTCTGCCAGTACCAGGCTGTTTTGAGAACAGTGGCTTTGTAATACAGTTTGAAGTCTGGTATTGAGATCCCTCCTACTTCACCCTTCTTTCTCAGGATTGCTGTGGCTATTCGGGGTCTTTTATTGTTACAAATGAACTTTTGGAGAGTTCTTTCTAGGTCGGTGAAATATGCCGTTGGTATTTTAATGGGGAGTGCATTGAACCTATAGATTGCTTTAGGAAGTATGGACATTTTGATGATGTTGATTCTACCAATCCATGAACATGGTATATTCTTCCATCTCTTTACATCTTCCTCTATCTCTTTTTTCAGTGTCGTGTAGTTTTCTGCATATAGGTCCTTTACTTCCTTAGTTAAATTTATTCCTAGGTATCTTAATTTTTTTGGTGCGATGGTAAATGGAATTGCTTTTTTAGTCTCTGTTTCTATAGTTTCACTGTTGGTGTATAGAAATGCCATGGATTTCTTGGCATTAATTTTGTATCCTGCTACATTGCCAAATTCATTTATTGAATCAATTAGTTTTTTAATGGAGTCTTTTGGGTTTTTTATGTACAATATCATGTCATCTGCAAATAAGGATAACTTTACTACTTCTTTTCCAATTTGGATGCCTTTTATTTCCTCCTCTTGTCTAATTGCAATGGCTAGTACTTCTAGTACTATGTCAAACTGGAGTGGCGAGAGTGGGCATCCCTGTCTTGTTCCTGTTTTTAGAGGGAATGGTTTTAGTTTTTGCCCATTGAGTATAATGCTGGCTGTGGGTTTATCATATAAAGCTTTTATTATGTTGAGGTACGATCCTTGTACTCCCACCTTGTTAAGAGTTTTTATCAGGAAAGGGTGCTGGATTTTATCAAATGCTTTTTTCTGCATCAATTGATATGACTATATGATTTTTATCTTTCAGTTTGTTTATGTGATGTATCACGTTTATTGATTTGCGGATATTGTACCATCTTTGCATTCCTGGAATAAATCCTACTTGGTCATGGTGTATGATCTTTGTGATGTTCATCTGGAGTCTATTTGATAGAATTTTGTTGAGGATTTTGGCATCTATGTTCATGAGGGATATTGGCCTGTAATTCTCTTTCATTGAGTTGTCTTTATCTGGTTTTGGTATTAGGGTGATGCTGGCTTCATAGAAGGAGTTTGGAAGTGTTCCTTCCTCTTGGATTTTTTGGAATAGTCTGAGGAGGATAGGTTTTAGTTCTTCCTTGAATGTTTGGTAAAACTCTCCTGTGAAGCCATCTGGCCTGGGCTTTTGTTTGCTGGAAGCTTTTTGATGACTGTTTCAATTTCTTCCCAAGTCACTGGTCTATTGAGATTTTTAGATTCTTCCTGATCGAGTTTTGGAAGTTTGTATTTTTCTAGGAATATGTCCATTTCCTCCAGGTTGTTCAGTTTGTTGGAATAGAGTTGTTCGTAGTATTTTGTAGCAATCCGTTGTATTTCGGTGGGGTCTGTTGTTATTTCACCTCTTTCATTTCTGATTTTGTTTATTTGGGTCCTCTCTCTTTGTTTCTTGGTTAGCCTGGCTAGAGGTTCATCTATCTTGTTTATCCTTTCAAAAAACCAGCTCTTGGTTTTGTTGATCTTATGTATTGTTTTTTTGGTCTCTATGTCGTTTATCTGTGTTCTGATTTTTGGTATTTCTTTCCTTCTGCTTACACTGGGCTTTTCTTGTTGCTCCTTTTCTAACTCTTTGAGTTGTAGAGTTAGATCATCTGTTACCCTTTTTTCTAGTTTTTTGCAATAGGCTTGTAAGGATATGAACTTCCCTCTCAAAACTGCTTTTGCTGTGTCCCATAGATTTTGGATTGTTTTGTTTTCATTGTCATTTGTTTCCAGGATGTTTTTAATTTCTTCCTTGATTTCTCTGGTAACCCAGTCCTTGTTTAATAGCATGCTGTTTAATCTCCATGTGTTTGATTTCTTTGGATTATTTTTATTGTAGTTAATTTCCAGTTTTATGCCATTATGGTCTGAGAAGATACTTGATACGATTTCTATCTTCTTAAATTTGAAGAGACTTTGCCTATGTCCCAAAATGTGGTCTATCTTTAGAATGTCCCATGTGCACTTGAGAAGAATGTATATTCTGCGGCTTTGGGATGGAGTGTTCTGAAGATGTCAATTAATTCCATCTGGTCTAGTGAGTCATTTAGGATTAATATTTCTTTGCTGATTTTTTGTTTAGATTATTTGTCGAAGGATGACAGTGGGGTATTCAAATCTCCTGCTATGATTGTATTGCTATTAATCTCTCCCTTAATGTCCTCCAGCAGTTTTTTTTTTTTATGTATTTGGTTGCTCCTGTATTGGGTGCATATATATTTACCAGGGTAATTTCTTCTTGTTGGATTGTTCCCGTTAGTATTATGAAGTGGCCTTCATTATCTCTTATTATGTCCTTCAATCTGAGATCTAATTTGTCAGATATAAGTATTGCTACCCCAGCTTTTTTTTCATTTCCATTTGCCTGGAAAAC